CCATTGGGTGCCCACCCTTCAGCCCACGGAGCCAGGCCCTCCCTCTGCCCTGCCCCCTCAGAGGCCCTTGTCTTTGTGCACTCCAAAGCCATGCACATCTTGCCCAGGAGCACCCTGGGTGGGTGGGTGGATGAAGGGATGGATGGTGAGAAGAATGGGGTTGGGAGGATGGATGGGTGAGTGGGTGGGTGGGCAGATGGATGGAAAGATGGATGAAGAATGGACACTGGGAGGCTATGGATAGATGGATGAGTGGGTGGATGAATGGATGGACAGATGGACGGTGGAGCAGATTTCACTTAGAATGGGAAGTGATGGAATACAGCACATGGAGCAACTCTGGCTTCTAAAAGGGATCACACCTCCTGGTGGTCCCTAGTGGTCCCTACCGGTCCTCCCCCCACCCCCTCCCACCAAGCGGGCATGTGGGTCTTCTACATACAAGCAAGAAAGCATCTCTTTGATTTTCAGGAAGACATGGTAGCCCAGTCTGTCTCATTTGCTGGCAACGCCAAGTTACTATTCTGGTTGACAGAGAGAGGTGTTTTCAGGCTGGGGCTGTGTTCTGGAGCCATGCAAATTAGACTTGACAAGGGTCAATGTGAAGTTCTGCTCCCGGGTTCAAAACAACCAATTGTTCAGGTGGCATGGTGGCAGAGCATCTTGCATGGAAAAGACTTGCGATCTGAGGGTGCCGTAGCCATTCGTGATGGTCAGTGGGATGTGGCCACAGTGGGTGCCACTGGGGAGAGTGGGTAGGGAGGTCAAGGGCACGGAACTGTGCCATGTGGAGATTAAGTGGGGGAGCTGGGAGCCAAGCATAGAGCTGGTGGTCAGAGTGGGGGAGGCCTGCTGAGGGGGAGGTGCAGTGAGGACAAAGGAAGGGGGTGCCCAGGGGTGGGAGCCCTGCATGCCCACCTCCTCCTTCAGGCCGCATCCGGGGGCACCTCCTCCAGGGTGCCTCTTCCGATCTTCCCCTGCAGAACTGGTGACTTGCTGGCCTGCGCTACCTCCCGGAGGAGCACACGGGACCCCCCTGAGATCTGAAGTCAGGGAGGCTGATGTATTGTTGTTGTGCCCACGTTTGGGGTTCATGGCAGGTGCTGCCAGTACTGGTGAGCTGAACCAGAGAAGGAGCAGGGGGAGCTGACTGGCTGTGAGGGCCTTCATGATGGTGAGGGTCCCCACGAAGGCTGGTGCCCTGTGGTCAGGGACTGAAGACTGCTGGTTGTGGTGGTGAGGGGGTGATGTTGACAGTGGTAATGGTGGTGTCAATTTGGTGGGGATGGCAGTGATGATGATGGTGTTGGTAGTAGGTAGGGGTGGTGATGGTGGTGGTAGCGGTGGTGACAAGGCTGATGGCAGTGGTGGTGACGATGGTGGTGATGGTGGTGTTGATAGTGAAGGTGGTGGTGGTGGAGGTGACAATGTAGCGGTGACGGTCGTGGTGGTGGTGGTGATGGTTGTGACATTGACGGTGGTGGTAGAAGTGACGATGATGTTACTGATGGCGGTAGGATGGCGGGAGAGGTGATGATATTGGTGGTGCTAGTGGGTGCTTGCGGAGGTGATGCTCACGGTGATATGGTGGTCGTGATCACGGAGGAGGCGAGCGTGCTGGTTGATGGTGGAGGTGATGATGACGATGGGATGATGGTGGTGGTAGTGATGTGGTGACAGCGATGATGAACGTTATCACAGAGGAGTTGGTGGTGGTGATGGTAACTGTGGAGGAAATGGTTTGATGGTGGAAGGTGGTAGAGGTGGTTGGGATATCAATAGTGATGGTAGTGATGATGGTGATGGTGGAGGTGGTGATAGAGGTGGTGTTAATGGTGGAGATGGTGGTGGTGGTGATAGAGGTGGTGGTGGTGATGGAGATGGTGTTAATGGTGGAGATGGTGGTGGAGGTGAAGATGATAAAGGTGGTGGTGATGGGGATGGTGGCGGTGGCAGTAGTGGTGGTGGAGGGGGTGCTGACTGCGGCCTCAGCATGTGCAGGACCACTGCTCAGTGCTCCGCAC